AATACCCACATACACCCCCCAACACCCCCAAACTGCACCCCAACACCTTCATTCCCCTCTCCAATACCCCCTATACCCCCTTTACCCCCTCTTCCTCCCTACCTCTCTTCCCAAACGTGCGGATTGGGGCTGTGCTCAGCATGCGCAGTACAGCCTCCAACTCAGATTCGAAAAAACATCAGTGGATGGCTGTTTTCTGACGGGTCATCAGAACGCGGACTGGTAAGCCCTACTGGTTGGCTGCAAAACGGTCGGCGGTTGGGGTCGGTGGTGGACTGGTATGCAATCCTTGTGCCAAGGGTAAAAAAGCATTTGGGCTGTGCCAGGGTGTTTTTGAACTGTTTCGTTTAACTTTCGCCAACTCGTCAGGAGGTTGAACATGGGCAGTCTCCCCAGGTTGCATTTGACTGATGGATAAGGACTCTAACTGCGCCGCCGAGAGTTAGCGACAGCCCTGCGAAAAGTGGGCGGCTTTACTCACCTGCCCTGAGGAAAATGTGTCGGCTTTACTCACACTAACCGTGTAAACCCCTGACAAAAATGGCATAAAGTCTCAGAAACTAGTCTGTCACAGCCATAAGACCCACTCTACAAACCTGGTCAGCGAGCGATACGTTCTGGCATGACCGCTTGTCCAGTCCCGACCCTAGCCTCATTTATCCTTCTGAATGCAGAGCTGTGCGTGTGTGTGTGTGTGTGTGTGTGTGTGTTGTGTGTGTTGTGTGTGTGTGTGTGTTGTGTGTGTGTGTGTGCCCTAGCGTACAAGTAGCGTATGACCGCTAGTCCAGTCCCGACCCTAGCCTCATTTATCCTTCTGAATGCAGAGGGGTGTGTGTGTGTGTGTGTGTGTGTGTGTGTGTGTGTGTGTTGGGTGTGTTGTGTGTGTGTGTGTGCCCTACCATACAAGTAGCGTATGAGTACAGGAGTACGAATCCGTACTTGTACGAGGCTGTGTACAAGTGACAACGTAGTGTATAATACTATATAAAGTCAAACAGATCTGTCCCACATGCCGTAGGCAGACAGGGACAGGAAGACAACAAACGAGGGGCTCTGCATATGTGCCACACTGTTTCCCCGAAGTTTCACCGACTCATCGGACGGCTAAATCCTCTAGTGCAGAATTCAACTGCTTCATCTAGCAAACTTGGACTTAAAAACACTATCCCATAACAGCATCGGACTCGAGATGTACCTCTACAGTCTGCAGAGTCCGCTAACGAAGGATACTGAAAGTGATAGCCCAAGTGGCGTCGGATTTATACTCATAATTAAGCCCCTGGTAGATACGATATTTATTACTATGTTCCGAGAAACTCATATTTTCTCCGATTGCGGGTAAGCATCAACTACTGCCCGGCAACCGATACCTTGAGGTGGTGGGGAGCACCAACCACTGCCAGCGGCAGTACAAGGGGTTATCCCATTCGGGAATGTCCGGATCTATGCCTGTTTTCGACTAGTCTGCAGAGTCCCCTAACGAAGGATACTGAAAGTGATAATCCACCTTAACTCCTGCTGTGGTTAAGCATCAACGATTGCCCGACAACTGATACTACCCTGAGGTGGTGGGGACCACCAACCACTGCCCTCAACGTACCTGTGACTGAAACCGAAGCAGCCTATCACTCACCCACACCAGATGAAAAACTTTACAGACTGCAGGTTCACACCTCATTCCATTGTTTTCGGCACGGCTGGGCGAGCGGTGCCGGCCCACTCTGGTGACGTAGATTCCATACGAAATTATGTTGGTCTCTCCAAAAGACTAAAGAGAAATTGTACGAGGAAGTCACTCATAGCCATATGAATCTTCATGTTTTATTGTTATTTTTGTTTTTTTTTACACAGTTGAATGAAGACAAACAGGGACGCTGGACCCGTTTTCCAGCAGGTGATGCTCCCCACCAATAGATGGAGCCTCCCCGAGCTTGCTAGTGGTGACTGCTCTTATCAGCATCCCTAGCAACTACTTAAAAAAAGGGCAAAGCAAGTGTAACGTGCTCGGCGGCTTGTTTCAACCACAAGTGCCAATCGTGGTGAAACGATAACCCAACATCTTTTGCCCCCAAATGCATTCAGCCAGTCCTCGTCAGCCCAGTGCACATCATCAGACGGGTACATCAAAAGCGCAGTCTCCAAGTCTACCAGCACAGGTTTTGGGAGAGGGGGTTGGCACTGGCTTTTGAATCGATGGGATGGAAAGAAGCCACGAACCTACTCCCTTTGCATCCACATTTTGAGTTCTGATCGACTTGCTGGATTGATAAATCGCCTACCGTAGTGAGGCTTTTCTCAAGTTTTTTAAACTTTTCTGTCCGTCTTCAAGTTACGAAGGCATGCCAGTCCCTCCCCCCCCCGCCCCCTCTTCATTTTAAAATAAAAAAAGTAAAGGTATGCAAGTTGTGAAGCAGTGAGGTTCGAACTCTGTGTTATCGAGATCCATGTCATGGTGAATGAACGATACCACCTTTACGTATTTATTTAAACTTTTAAAGTTTAAAACCACCAGTACTTTTGAGAATTTTTGAAGCTTCCCATGACGCAGCCCTTCTTATGGCTGGTGCCGCCAGGCATTTTGCTCCACCACCTAACCCCCGAAAGCCGTCGCATACATGCAGTGTGCAGCCACGTCAACGAAAAATAAAATGGCTGGGAAATGTACTAGTGGTGGTTTAATCAATTCTTTGCACGTCATTTGGGTTTCGCTGTCATGAACTTTCTCAACAATTCAGCCAGTTTTCGACAAAAAAAATATTGAAAAATATGGTTTAAATATCCATAATATTTCATTAATGGACAGGCTGCCCCGAGATCGGATGAGGCAGCCGGACCCGTGGGGCTGGGCACACGGACCTATATCAGTACGTGTAGCGCGAGCTGGCGGCTGCCATTCGACGACAAACACTAAAGAGAGCAAGCGTTGGAGCTGGAAATACACAGTAGTCCTGACCGCAGCCCCCACCGCCTGCGCCTGATGCTTAGCAAAGAAAGTTTGCATACAGATAGACGCATCAGGTGAGTCTTTCTTTTTTTTTTTTTTTGGGGGGGGGGGGGGGGTGTTGGGGGACCAGCTGAATAATGTCTCTGGTGTGACGCTTGCCCCTTGTCTTTTTTTTTTTTTTTGACATTTGACAATTTCTCTTGGGTGATAGGGCTCCTCTGATTGACATCCAATGTATGTCCGATCATCCCCCGAGTAGCACCGCCCCCCCCACAGTTGGCTCTTGTGACTTGTCTATTGGCGGGAGCATCACCTGCTGGAAACCGGTCTCAGCATCCCGTACAGAATCGATTGCACCAGAGCCATTACCCGGCTTGGATTAGGGAGGGAGCAGACTCAGCGGAGTCTCACTTGTTTACGGAGTATAGACCACAGAAAGCATCATTCACTCAATGTACACACTCAACTCCTTTGTCATTTGCCGTTGTATAGCCAAGGAATCCAGAGGCCGCGGTATTGATTGCTCCCCTCAGGGAGGGTTTACCACTGCTCACCTCTGTCCATCCCCATGGCACATTTCTCAGCTCTTCTACGCCTTTGCATCCTGTGTCCTCCTCCGTCCCCTTTGGACTGTTAGTTAACCCACCCCTGATGTACTTTCCTCTCCTCTACCGCCCATCATGTGCTGTCCCAGCATATTAGGCTGAAGACCAGCCCAGTGTTTGTTTGATGATGGACATTTCTGGCAGCGCTAGCCGCTCCGGAAGACTGTCAGAGGGCGTTTGTCCAGGCTGTGAAATGGCTGCTACTTGCGACCACGCGGCCAAGCCCAAACGACTGTCCCACTGCAACTGTGTTGCAGCTAGACAGCTCCACTCAGATGAACATCTTGCTGTTTTTTATATGCCAGGTCGGCTCTTGATGATCCTGATCCATCAGGTGCTCCGCCATTCTTCCATTACTCTGTAGCTAGGCTGAGACCAACTTCCCCTGGCCGACTGTGGACTGACAACTCTCCACTTCCGAAGAGGCTGGGTCTGCATTGACTGCCTATTTTATTTATGGGATGAATCAATTTATCCATGATATTCCAGTTGAGGGCATACTCACACTAGCAGTTTTCAAAATGCATCTGACCATAATCACGGCCAGAGCTGGATGAATCTGGCTTACAATCACGTTCACAGCTTTGTAGAAGAAGTCCTGCCCATCCCATGGATTCTGAGGTTGTCAGCCGTGAGATCTGCA